CCCAACCAACCAAACAAACAATCAATCAATCAATCTTGGGAAGGGCTCACAACATTTGTTTACCACCCTATTTTCTACAAAGTTTCTTTTTTTGTTTTGCTCAACAGAATCCAATGAAAATTTAAAGACAGGTGCGCTAGATCGTGGTAACAGAAGGGCCCAATATAGGGTTTCACAAGCCTCGAAAGTCTATTTGGGCAGGGCCTGAGACAATGTATATAAATAAAAAGTTTTAATTGTTATTATCTTCCACTTTTGTCCCAACAACATCCAATTAACAATGCCGTATAAAATGCAATTCAGTGGCCCGGGTCCACTTGCCCGGTCGGGCCAATATATATATCGTCAAATAGAAATATATATATATATATATATATATATATATATATATATTTTTAATTTAATTTTTTATTTTAACTTTGGTAAAGAATTTCAATGTCACCCTGAGGCAAAAGCTGTTCAGTTTATTTTTCTGCATAACATAGTTGTTTTTCGGATTTTTTGGATTTTTTATTTTTTTATTTTTTTGGCTGGGACCTTTCCTAGTGTCCTTGCACGTCCGGCTCGCCCAGGAAAATAGGATGACCCGTGCGGCCCGACTGATAGCCTAGGTGGGTGACCCGTGCGGCCCGACTGATAGCCTAACTTGAAACCATGTTCTGAAGAATCAGAACTTGAAAACATCATAAGTACAGTCATAAGTACAGCAGTGCGAGCAAACTTGACAGCGTGTTCCAAGAACTTCTGATTCTTATGATTTCTAATCAACCGTGAGCCACCATTGGCATAGGTAACAGTCATGACACGAGAAGAAGAAGAAGAAGACGAACAAAAAGTACAAGAAGTAGAAGAAGAAAGAGGCACAACATTGATTGCCTTGGAAAACCCAAGGGATTAACTGTGTGAAACAACCACCACTCAACCCTCAAACCACTGCAAGTGTAGGGCCCCCTTGCACCTTCCTCCCCCGCTGAGCCCTGTCTATAAAACCCCACACATACATCAGGGACACACTGTGTCACTAACATATGTGGCTATTCCCAGTCGCTGTCCCGACCCTCTTCATCTCTCTCACTGGAGTCACTGCTGCTTTCATCCGCATCCGAGTCGGTTGGATCGTCTTCCACGACCCTCGCCTTTTTAGCCGCCTTCTTCTTCGACCGCTTTGGCAGGCTTGTCTCCACACCGTCCACTGCGAGTGTAGGCCCCCCTTGCTCCTTTCTCCCCACAGTGACATGCTCTTGCACCTCACCCCCTTCAGCACCATCCACACCGGCAGCAGCAGCTGCTGACGCTGCCAGTGGATACTTCCACGGGCGGCCCCTTTTCCTTGCGAGTTTTGGACCAGTGTCAGGCTGCACCTTTCGCTTCCTTCCTGACGTCCAAGTCGTCGTGTTGCATGTCCTCTATCTCTAGCGGGAAAGGAAGGGTTTGAACCACATCTTGGATGGCTGCTGTGCTGGACCCTTGTGCCCGCCTGGAGTAAACTCGGGTGATTCGTTGCACAGTCTCCTTTTCTTGCTGCTGCAGCTGCAGACCATCGTATTGTTGTTGCTGATGCTGCTGCAGTCCAGCCTCATCAGGTTGCTGCTGCTGCAATCCTTCGTGATGTTGTTGTTGAAGCTGCTGTTGCCCAGTCTCTTGCTGCTGCAACAACCCATCTTGCGCTGGCTCCTGGTGCTGCTGCAGCCCATCCTCTTGCTGTTGCTGGTGCTGTACCCCATCTTCTCGCCTTGCATCTGCTGTTGCGGCCCTTCTGCTTGTTCTTGCTGTTGTAGTCCATCCTCTCACTGGTGATGCACTTCCTCTTCTTGCTGCTGCTGCACGCCTTCCTTGTGTCGCTGTTGTTGAACATCATCAGCTGCCAGGCAACTGCCCCTTCCGACCGGTGTCACGTCCTTCCTCGCCAAAGGGGGGCAGCAGTCCATTTTGCTGTTTCATCTCGCACTCGCTGCTCCTCGAGGGCACGATCTCGTTGTGCAAGGGATTATGCCCTCGCCCTGTCAGCGTCATCATCGAGGTCTGTGTCCGCTCCAATGTGTGCATTGAAGTTCATCCCCTTGGGCACCAAAAACTCGAGGTCACTATCTAGGTGACCCTGCTCCACATTGCGCGTGAGGGCCTCGTCCAGTTCGTCCTCGTCGCAAGACATGTTGCTTGCTCGTGACAACCACACCGTAAAGTTCTCGTCATCTTCTTCGCTCTCCTCGACGTCCGCACCCATCTACGCCTTTCCTTTGCCATCGTCAAGAACTTCAACAACTGTTTTTTTCTTCCCTTTGCCTCTCCAAATAAGGGCCTCCCCATCAGCACTATTGTCTGACGAGCTTGATTCATCAACGGCCCCATGCTTGAGGACCCTAGCCCGAGGAGTCTTTGTGACCCTTTGCCTCTCCAAATAAGGTCCTCATCATCACTACTGTTTGACGAGCTTGATTAATCAACGGCCCCATGCTTAAGGAGATTTGCCTGCTGGACCAGTTCATCGCCAGTCAAATCCGCTACAGTCGCGGCATTGGGCAATGCAGCAGGATCATTCGGTGGTGGCGCCTCCGCGTCCTAAACAAATGCAGCTCATATGTCCAAGTACCCCGCCAAGCTTCCCTTACTCTTGTTCTTGATGTCCAACAACTGAAGATTCCAATGGACATTCTTGATGTCCAACAACTGAAGATTCCAAGGACATAGACTAATTTCGCGAGACTGTAAGGGGACAGCGGACCCTCCTCTTGTCGTGCATAAGATCGAGAGACGACCAGTTCCTCTCACAAGGGGTTGCGGTGCTCCACATCATTGTGACCCTCCCCATCATCACTCATGTCTGACGAGCTTGATTCATCAATGGCCCGATGCTTGAGGACCCTAGCCCGAGGAGTCTTCGTGACCTTTTGCCTCTCTAAATAAGGTCCTCCCCATCATCACTACTGTCTGACGAGCTTGATTCATCAGCGGCCCGATGCTTAAGGACCCTAGCCCGGGAAGTCTTCGTGAGATTTGTCTGGTCGACCAGTTCATCGCTAGTCAAATCCGCTAAAGTCGCGGCATTGGGCAATGCAGCAAGATCATTCGGTGGTGGCGCCTCCACGTCGTCAAAGAATGCAGTCCACATGTCCAAGTACCCCGCCAAGCTTCCCTCACTCTTGTTGTTGATGTCCAACAGCTGAAGATTCCAATGGACATAGACTAATTTCACGAGACTGTAAGGGGACGAAGGGCCGCTCCTCTTGTCGCGCACAAGATCGAGATACGACCAGTTCCTCTCACAAGGGGTTGCGATGCTCCACATAGCTGTGACCCGCATATGGCAATGTCCCGCAACTTCTTATGAGAGGCCCCATGTCGGTTCCACCATTCTTAGGCCATCACTTGGGTAAATGAGCTGTCAAACTTCGTTAAGTCAGTCCACAAACTCTCCTCCACCATTTTCTCTGTCATTGGATCCTTCACCACGTCTCTGTTAGCTCCCTGTGGACTGCTTGCGAGTTTGCCCGCAGATCGAGCTGCTCCCTGCACCCCGAAGTGGCCTCCTCTTTGCACTGTGACAAGAAAAACTTGAGGGTGTTTTGGACCACCGAGGTTTGCATGTCCATCAACCACTTCATGTCTCTCCTCCTTGGGTCGAGGAGAAAGTTTGCCGCATGAACAAGCTGCCTCATTATCTTTGTGCGCTTGCTGACTGGCTTAATGATCTCCCGCCGCTGAGCATCGATCAACCGCGTGAGTGTATTGAAACGCCTCCCCAACCCCTCGTTAAAATGCCAAAGGCTTGGGGGGGTTGTGTCATTGTGGTCCATCTTCCGCAACGACTCGTGTATCGGCTCCAACACATTCAAAACCGTGTGCAACTTCTCCCACCATGCGGGCTCAGTGACAGTCATGTACGCAGTGTCGGACTTGTCCCGATCTTTTCTGATACTCCATCTCAACAGCCTCCACCCCTCCTCCATCATATCCTCTAGCACACGCCGCCTACCCCAAAACCGGTTCCTCATCATGTATAACTTGAAGCAAACCGAACCTCCGTGGGCAAAATCAAGGTCAACTCCCGGGACAGCTCTGAACACTTTGTGTAAAGGGAGGTGGTGTGATGGTGTCTCCTTATGAACTTCACCATCATCTTTGTGCGCTGCACTAGTTCCTTCACCCACTCCAGCTCGCAGATGTCTCTCATTAACAAGCTCAATCAATGCTCTATGCACGGGACCCATGGAATGCTAGATATGTCGCGATCAATGCGTCTTCGCAAGAGGTGCAACCTGTGTTGTCCCACTTTGCAGTCAGCGTCTCCACGTGCTGTTTTTTTTCCCCCAACTCAAGGTACAAATCGTGAAGCTCCTGTGTCTACGTTGTCCTAACGTAGTTAAACGGGACACCGTGTCGACAAAGGTGCATCCCCCATGCGATATCCAATCGCCGCTGAGAGTCGTTCGTTGTCCATCTTTTAATTGACACTTGTGTCAACTTCCCCGACTTTTGGCCTGCAGCAGATCCCTGTGCAGACGTCCCTGCCACTCCACCGCCTTCCTCTTCAATCCCCTGTGGCCCTTCTTCGTCAACCGTTGACAATGACACCATTCTGCTCCGCCGCCCTGCTGGTGGCACTATGAACTCATCCAGTGTATCCTCTTGAGCCTCCTCCAGAATTGCAGAAGCCAAACCGTCCAAGGGGATGTTATGCTCCATTTAGTATAGTTGGATGAGCCGCAGCGTCTTCTTGCACTCAATCTTGTGCCCCGTAGCAACAAGGATGTGAAGCATCTCCGAAAAACAACCCGGGCAAGGATTCGTTTTCCGTGTAAAGTGTCGTCATACACGCGTGTACGATGCAACCCAATCTGCACCACATAAAGTACACTTCACCCTGTACTGCCCCTTGGACAATGGTGGGACCATCTGCCCTTGGGTTACCCACTTAAATGTCACCTTCGTCGCCTGCAGCTGCGGTTGCCTTGCCTGAGGCTGTGGCACAACTGCTTCCTTCACGCGCGTGGCCGTGGAGTGCGAACCCACCACCTCCTTCCCCCTCAAAGTATCTGTCACGCTTGAAGATGCCATCTTGGACAAGGCGGCGAACGACGAGGGGAAGAAGAAGGAGGAGGAGGAGGAGGAGAAAAAAAAGAATAAGAGGAAAAAGAAGGAGGTCTATGGCGGGCGGGAGGGAGGAGTGGAGGGAGGAGTGGAGGAAGGAGTATGGCGGGATGGAGAAAGGAGGCCTCTGTCGGGAGGGAGTAGAGAGGTCTATGGCGGGAGGGAGGAGGGACGACTATGGCGGGAGGGAGGAGGGACGACTATGGCGGGAGGGAGGAGGGACGACTGTGGCGGGAGGGAGGAGGGACGACTATGGCGGGATGGAGGATGGAGGAGTATGGAGGGAGAAAGGAGGAGGGAAGGAAGCCACATCGCGGGAGGGAGAAAGGAGGACTATGGCGGGAGGAGGGAGACTATGGTGGGAGGAAGGACGAAGTACTATGGCGGGAGGGAGGAGGGAGGACTATGGCGAGCTGAAGGAGGGAGGAGTATGGAGGGAGAGAGGAGGAGGGAAGGCAGCCACGTCGAACGAGGAAAAAGGGAAAACGGAGAAGGGAAGCTATGGTGGACTACGGCGGGATGAAGATCTATGGCGGAGGAGTATGGAGGGAAAGAGGAGGGAAGGCAGCCACATCGAAGGAGGGAGGAAGGAGGAAGGAGAAGGGAGAAGGAAAGCTATGGTGGACTATGGCGAGAGGGAGGAGGGAGGAGTATGGCAGGAGGGAGAAAGGCCTATGGCGGGAGGAGGGAGGACTATGGCGGGACAGAGGACGAAGTAACTATGGTGGGAGGGAGGAGGGAGGACGATGGCAGGATGAAGGAGGAGGGCGGAGGGAGGCAGCCACATCGAAGGAGGGAGGAGGGAGGGAGAAGGGAGAAGGGAAGCGATGGTGGACTATGGCGAGAGGGAGGAGGGAGGAGTATGGCGGGAGGGAGAAAGGAGGACTATGGCGGGAGGAGGGAGGACTATGGCGGGAGGGAGGACGGAGTACTATGGC